CTTGGACTTAAGATCTTCAGGAAAGGTCTTTTCTTCAAGTTACTCCACCTCAAAGCCACATTTGATTGAGACTTTCTTTTCCAGGCTCTGGAACCTCTGGCTCCTTGACCATTGTTCCCCCACCACCATTGTTCATCAGCCATGAGTTTGACAATTAAGACAGATGGCTATAAAATGGGGGTTTAGGTCCAGTGCTGCCTTTTTAAAAATGGATTTGTTTTAATGTATTTTAAAGTGATTTGATAATTATTTATTGTTAGTACCTTGAATTTCATTTTTTGGGGTAGGGAGAATGGTGAGGTAGAAATTAATAAACAAATCATAATCAGTATGTAGGTTCTAGGTGCTTCCATAAAAGGTTATACTGTATGTGCTGGTTTTATTCTTCAAAATCTACTTTCCTTTTTCACATTGCTTTTTTATTATTTTTATTAAACCCAGACTTTCTCTTTATATTCTGGAAAACCACAGTTTACACATATGATATAAGTCAAAAACATTCAGTGTGACCATGAGATTTCCAGAACCTTCTCTTTCTTCCAATTACTCTCTGTGCCTCTACACATCTCTTTCTGAAGGTTCCCCAACTTTCTGGAGCAGAATGGGAAGTACAGGGGAGTTGCAGGAGACAAGTGGAGTTCATTTCAACCTGCAGTACACAGCCCATAGAGTTAAATCTCTCACTCATCCATGCTGTCAAGACGTTTTCTGTAGATTTGTGTGTAATCTTATACTTGCAGTGAATTTTATATATGTTGGCTCAGAATGAAGTTCCAGTATTAGTCTTGGATAAGTGTGTTTAGGATTTTAGCCTTACAGTGCAGTTCTTTTACATAGGTATATAATTACAGTAACTATAATTCTAGTAAGGTGTTGACATAGAATAGCCACTGTAACTCTAATAAGATGTTGACATGGAATAGTTCACTTCATAAGACTGTCAAGACATGAAATTATTAGTTATGAAATACAAAATATTTATTTCTATTAATTTGATTGAGGTAGCAACTATCTTGTTTTGATTTGGAATGCTGGCTCAAAACAACTGTTTTACACAATTTCTCATAAGCGTAATGACAATCGTTGGAACTGCCATATGATCCAAACATTTGGCATTGAAGCAATACTAAAATCTTGTTTACTGCTTGTAATTCTGGACATAAATCCCAAGGGATGTCTGACCTAGATGGTTTCCAGATCTTCTTCAATGATACCATCATCACTTTTTCTTCTGTATACATGTTTTCTGTGTTCCAGAAATATGAGTGCCTATATTCGGCACTGTGTGTGTGTGTGTGTGTGTGTGTGTGTGTGTGTGTGTGTGTGTGTGTGTGTGTGTGTGTGTNNNAGAGAGAGAATAGATTCTTACCCTCTGGTTGTTTAGAGCTGTGGTACTATTGTTGAATAGAAGATACTTAAACTTTAGCTACAAAAGCTTTGGAGTCATTTTGAATCAAATCCAGCAATGTGCTTCCTCCTGAATCTTAACTATTGCAGCCAGTGATATCATGCATAGCTAGTCTCTTCAAGAAGAAATAGACAATTTTTCAAAGTCCTGGCTTGAAAAGAAACATGTAGGTTACACCCTCTGTCACATCTTACCCAGTGTTACAATCAAGCAGCCTTTATATCTGCGTTGCCTAGACATTGGAGCCAAATTGCAAAAGACAATGCAAAGGGAAATAACCTCTGTATCAGGCTTTTTTTGCTGACTCTTCCCTATCTCTTCACAGAAATAGATGCCACGGTGAAGGAGGAACTGGCAAAAATTCATTCATTAAAGGCCTAACAAACGATATCGGTCTTACCTCATTTAATTTAATACGTTACTTTAAGTTTAGAGCTTAAAAAAACCTGTGTACGTATTCTTAGCTAGAGCCTGGGACATTACTTTTTATGGAAAACAAGTCCCACAGTCTTTTCCTGAGGAGATAATTGGGAGCTTTATTCCCCCAAAGTTAACAATTCTAAGCTTCGTTCATAGCTGTCATAGTTCTCTGAGTTACTTGTTCAAATGGTATGCATTTCCTAAATAGCTGCTTTCTTCTTTTTTGACACATTGAACTTAATAATTCACTTTTGTGTTGGCTCAGCATGTGAATAATACATTTAGGGTAATATCTTTCCCTTCCTCTGCAATAAAGTATATCCTTGCTGAATTCAGATTCTGAAAGATCCCCCAATATATTTAAAGCAACACCTCACCACTAAAAACACCTTGATTCAAAATTCTACTGCTTCTGCAGCATTTAAAATAATTCAGTAGGGTGGGTGTGGGAGAGAGAACCCACCTTTTTCCATGATCGTTGAAACCTTTGGGCGGCTCTGTGGATGATTAGTACACTCTGACTCATTCCGCTTTTGGAAAATCAAATAGCACCACTCTGAAAGTGTCATTTGTGAACATGGGAACTGTAAATGCAAGCAATCAGCACTCTTCTCTGAAGCAGCAACTCCTTGATGTAGGGGGAGTGCAGCCACAATGACACAGACATTTGCCAGCTTCCCAGCTGTATCTAGGTCAAGGAGGAAGAACAACCATTGCCACTGTAGAATTTGGGAGATGATGGAAGAGTACTGGCTGAGAGGAAGAGAGATATGATGGGGCAACCAAGGGATCTATCCCTCCCAAAATATGTGGAGATGTTTTCCTGCGGATATTAAGTATCAGGATATTGAGAATCTTGTCTGAGGATCATGACCACTGCAGCTAGGCATTTACAATATTGATAAAATTCATGTGGCGGAACAAAATAAACTGGATTGAAGAGTTTCTTCATGCAGGTTTTCAGTGTGGATGCTTTCTTCCAGTTTAGTCGATAGAATCAGCAGCTAAAAGTTCATGAACAATATTGGTAAGAAGAGTGCAACATGACTTCAGAAAGCCACCATTGTTTTTTTTATGTCTCTCTCTCTCTCTCTCTCTCTCTCTCTCTCTCTCTGTGTGTGTGTGTGTGTAGTGTGCCATCTAGTGGCCTTTTCACTACTCTGAGTGGTTCCAAGCAATAAAACAAACATAAAGAAAACAATCAAATCCCACCCAACCCACAAATAAAAATATATAATTTATGGGGGAAAACATACCTGAAAAGCCAAGATGGTGGCAACAAACAAGATACAAACTACAGGAAATAATTGTCAAAATGAAACCAAGAGACCAACATTTATGAGGGGCGGATATCCTGAAATGCCTCCCTGAAAAGGAGAGTATTTGCATGCCTTCTGAATATTAGGAGGGAAGGAGCTGGTGCACCTCCACAGGTAGAGCATTCGATAGAGAGGTGGCCACCACAGAGAAGGCCTGACTTCTAATCATAAATTTCCCGACCTCCTTTGGGGTGGTCAACTGCAGCATCAATGCCTGGGAGGTGCGAGTGGCATGGAAAAGTTTACCTTAGGAAGAGGTGTTCCAATATAGAGAGGTCCCTGGGTTCAAAGGACTTTATAGGTCAACATAATTACCTTCGATTTGGCACGGAAGCAAACTAGCAGCTGATGCATGTGAACTAGGACCAAGGAAACATGATTGTATCTTGAAGTACCTGAGATCAGCCTGGCCAACACATTTTGTACGTTGCAGTTTCTGAACTGCCTTCAAGGGCAGTCTCAAATAGAGAGGATTCCAATAGCCAATCCTCAGAATTACCAATGTGTGAACTAGTGCTATCAAGGACTTTCTGTCTAGGTAGAGTCGCAGGTATAAATTCTGCCTAAGATTGAAAGAGGCAGACCTGGCCACAAACAAGATCTGTTTCTCCATCGAGAGAGCCAGGCCCTGAAGAACATCCAGATTATGATCCTCTCTTTCAGTGGAAATGTAACCCTTTCTAGAGCAGGCCAGCAGGATATCCCCACTTAACAACCAGATCTCTGTCTTTTTGTCAAGATTCAATCTCAGCCTGTTCACCCTCGCCCAGTCCATAATTGAGGGTAGGCAGCACTCCAGGGTCTACACAGCTTCCCCTGCTGAAGAGGAAAAGGAGAACTAGAACTATGTGGAAGAGCCTCTTGGCGCTCACAACCTGGGTCCAATCCCGGCTAGCCAACTCAATGTTCACTCAGACTTTACATCCTTCTGAGGTAAATTGAGTACCCCGCTCATGGGAGGGGCAATGTGTAGCCTGCATAATTAGATTGCAAACCAGCCAGAGAGAGCTTTAAGCTCTATGGGATGGTATATAAGCAGCACACTTTGCTTTGTGTGTCATCAGCATATTGATAACAATACACTCCAAAAGTCTGGATGATCTCACCCAGCAGCCTCACCTAGATATTAAACAGCATGGAGGAGATGATTGACCCCTGTGGGACTCCATATTGTTGAACCCATGGAGTCAAAGCAGCCTCCTCAAGGAGTACCATCTGGGACTAGCCTTTGAGGAAGGACTGGAGCCAGTTTTGGACTAACCCCCTCCCCATCCCCTATCTCATTAGCTGATCCAGAAGGATACCATGGTCAGTGGTGTCAAAGGCTGCTGAGAGATCCAGGAGAAGCAACAGAGTTACTCTTCCCAAGTCAGCCTCCCTCAACAGGTCATTGAGTTTTAAGTGTGAGTTTGCAAATGTAAGAATTATAAGAGTGAAGTCTTATAATATGAGGTTAGAGACCAGGTAAAACCTTGGGGTACAAATATACTTTTATATGCTTTTCCCACCTATGGATTGTGTTGTTCACCTAAGAGAGTAAATGCCTAACTGAGTTGTTGAATTAAACTTTGATGGTGCAAAGTAATCTTATTTTAAAATATTGCTCTTTGTTCACCTCCTGTTTCTGATTTGGAGCACAAGAGACAGCTGGAAAGCACAAGCACTTCTCGGAGGTGCCTCAGAGAGGTCTTCTGCCTTTTGGCACTAATTGACTGTATGTCTCAAAAATAGCTTTCACTCTTTAGTTGTTGGTTGGTAGATCTACGTGTTTATATATAGTACAATTTAAGATAAGTAGTCTGCCAATCAAAATGAAAATAGACATGTATTTCCTTTTTTCTTGTTTTCTGCAGGATTTTAGATAATGGGCTGTGTGCAATGCAAGGATAAAGAAGCAACAAAACTGACAGACGAGAGGGATGGCAGCTTAAACCAGAGTTCAGGTTATCGCTATGGGACAGATCCCACCCCCCAGCATTACCCAAACTTTGGTGTGACATCAATTCCAAACTACAACAACTTCCCCACAGCTGGAGGACAGGGTCTGACTGTCTTTGGAGGTGTCAATTCCTCTTCTCATACTGGCACATTGCGTACAAGAGGAGGAACAGGTAAATCGTACATTGCTTTTTTCCAAACTCATATTTTGAAATTCCACAATGCAAAATTAAACATGTCAGATGTTTCTGTGGGGAATCCTCTACAATCCTGCCTCAGTGATCTCTAACTTGAAAGCAATTAAAGGATTCTTAAGTTATTCTTGTTTACAAGAAATAGTGCAGCAGTTTGACCGCTCAAATGCACTGTATAAATGCTAAATGTTATTTTTCTGATTTTGATGACAAATTGTGCTATATGTAACACTTAGCAAGTTTAATATTGTTTCTAAAAACTAATGCCACAGGCCATTATTATCCCCTGTCTGCCCCCCACTAAATTCTTTAATAGTGAATTTATTTTTTAAATTATATAATGGCAGATTACGAAAACGTTATTCACATTATTGTCTCTTTACATAGGTGTAACTCTTTTTGTCGCTCTGTATGATTATGAAGCAAGAACGGAAGATGACTTAAGTTTTCATAAAGGAGAAAAATTTCAGATACTAAACAGCTCGTAAGTTTTCTCTTATTGTGTGTCTTTTTAAAACATACTTCATTGATAATTCGGAACATTAGCAGCATTTATATATACTCTTTCTTGTTTTTAAAGAGACCCCATGGCTGAGATTCTGTTATGCAGCTCCACATGCACAAATTGGATGATACCATCAGCGGACGTAAAGTACCGCTGATTAAAGGCAAATCACCACTGTTTAAAGATATTTGGGGGGGTGCACATATGACAGTAATGTACACCCCAGAATCACCAAATGAAGCTTTCAATCAGGAGCAATTTTCTGATGCTGTTGCTGCTGATACCATCCCAGTTGTGCATGTGGAGCTGCACAGCTGGATTTCAGCCTATGTATTATATTAGGATCACCTGTTTATTTATTATTTATGTGATTTGTATATTTTGTCCTTCTTCCCAAACTGTTACTCATGGCATTCCCTTTTTCTTTATCAGCATTTCTTTCTTTTCAAAATTTTAGGGAGCTGATGGGGTGTTGTGTGAGAGTACGTTTATTGCAGTGACTAAAAGTAGTGGAGTTTCCACACATTTTTCAGAAATAAAATGCTCCTCACCAAATGCCCCCAAGTTGCAAAAACCAGCCAAAGATTTAAATTAATTGTTATGTGTTTTGTTGCATTGTCCAACATTAAAAGTACATTTTTAAAATGCTTGGAGCTATAACAATAGCAGTTTGGGGACAATATATTGCAATTTGACCATGATTCCCATCCTTTGTAAATGGAGGGAAGTACACATGGACCTGTACATAGAGCAGCAAACGCAACAAATGGAGGGTGTCAGTACTGATGAGAGGAAAAGATGAAGAGGATGGCAATAAGCCAGTTTGTGCCTCCCCTGAATTCATTCTGCTCTCTCTTGCAATAGCAAGAGAGAGCAGAATGCCTAATGATAGAGCAGTCTCCGCAGGAGTCATCCAGAGAGGCAGAGAACTCTGAGGGCTACTTCCACTTCCAGTGTATTTGGAAAAGCACAGGATGTGGTGCCATAAACTGAAGAGGAGGAAGAGGAGGACCAATTAGTCCTTACCCTCACTTGTCAGATGTTCACTGGCTGGCTAAATTAACCTTGTCCTGCAAAGAGACAATGTAGCTTGTGCACGAGTAGCTTTTAAATTGTATAGCCCAATGTGGCTTGTACACTAGCCCCTTGAATGAAGAGTTTGGTTTGGATAACTCTTTACTAAGTGAGGGGAAGGCTTGTCAGGATATTTCCCATGGTCTGATCTTTTATTATTATTATTTTTTTGGCCTAGTTCCTGTACCAGAAGGTGGCTTCTACATGGGAGGGAGGGATGGTTCAACTAAACACAGAATTGTGTTTCAGTCTTTGAATATGAAGTTATGATGTAGTTTGGATGTGCCACATACCTAGGCACTATGGAATTTTGCACATCTTCATGGATTTTTTAGCAGCTGATTGATTGGTAGCAGTGCATTTTCTTTTAGCCTTTTGTTTCTCTTCATGGGGTATTCTTGGCAAAGATACTGGAGTGGCTTGCCAGTTCCTGCTCCAGGTGAATTGCATTTAGTCAGAACTCTCCACTGTGACCTGTCCGTCTTGGGTGTCCCTGCATGGCATAGCCCATCGCTTCTCTGAATTACTCAAGCCCCTTCGCCACGACAAGGCAGCAATCCATGAGAAGAGAAGACTCACTGGAAAAGATCCTGATGTTGAGAAAGTGTGAAGGCAGGAGGAGAAGGGGACGACAGAGGATGAGATGGTTGGACAGTGGCATCGAAGTGACCAACATGACTTTGACCCAACTCCTGGAGGCAGTGGAAGATAGGAGGGCCTGGCGTGCTCTGGTCCATGGGGTCACGACGAGTCAGACACGACTAAACGACTAAACAACAACAACAAGAAGAAGTGCATTTTCTGCTGTGGCAAGGGGTTGGACTTAATGACTGTTGGAGTCCATTCCAGTTCTACAGTTTTATCGTGGAGGCAAGCACAACTGTAATTGCATAAACAATAACAAGATATGTTCATAGGGATGTCTAGAGGAGTGGGAAATTGACATAAAAATAATTTTAAGGAATATTTCATGGCTATATGCACCTGAACAGCTTTGATGTACATAAAAGCTCAATAGTTTCATCTGTTTTGTAGTTCCATGACTTACATTAAAAAGCTGGATTTCAAAAATCATCCTTTTCTTTTAAATTCACAATTGGAAAAAAGCCAACAAAATATTTATATTATTAACTTCCTTTTAAGCTTCAAAATTGTTGTTCAAACCAAATAAACTCATAAAATCTCGGTGATGAAAAGGATAAAAGTGAGTTTTGAATATGTTGCTAATTGTGACAGCTTTTAGCTAGTACAATAAACTTGAACTGAACTGATACTGAATATGTTGTTGGAAAGATTCTAAAAATGAAAGTGGTCCTGTAGGAATATTTTCATTGGAATGCATTCAAATGTTCATAAAGCTGGGGTTTTTAAAGTCAGCTGCAGATAGGACTTTCCTCTGTCTGAAAGGTTCAGGCACCTTAAAACTCATAAATAGAAGCATGCAGTGACCATATTATAAAACAGTGGTCGCCAACCTTGGGCCTCCAGATGTTTTTGTACTTCAACTCCCAGAAATCCTGGCCAGCAGAGGTGATGGTGAAGGCTTCTGGATGTTGTAGTTCAAGAACATCTGGAGACCCAAAGTTGGGGACCACTGTTATAAAACATTCAACTCTATGTGGCTTCGTGAAGTGCTTAGTATTATATGTATTATGCTAATTGTTGTTGTTGTTGTTGTTGTTGTTGTTGTTGTTGTTATTGTTGTTGTTGTTATTATTATTATTATTGTTGTTGTTGTTGTTGTTGTTATTATTATTATTATTATTATTATTATTATTATTATTATTATTATTATTATTATTATTATTATTATTATTATTATTATTATTTCTCAAATTCTGGAGTCCATACTAATAATTGTGTTCCACCACAAGTTTTGACTTACGACAATCCTTTTCAGGATTTTCTAGGTAGAGAGTACTCAGAAGTGGTTTAGTTTACCATTGCTTTCTTCAGGAGGCCGTGCAGCTTGCCCAAGGGTATGCAGGCTGGCTCTTTTCCCAGGAGACCAAGTGGGGAACTGAACTCCCAAGCTCTGGCTTTGCAGCCAGATACCTAACTCATTGAGCTATCCAGCTAGCATGGATACAAAGTAGTCTTTAAAACATTTTAATCCTCTCACCATTGTATGTACCCTATTTTTCCATGTATAAGACTATACTTTTGTCTAAAATCTTTAGACTAAAAATTGTGGGTCATCTTATACACAGAAGTAAGCTGAGGAGAGAACAAACAGAAGTGGAGGGGAAAGCAGGGATCAAAGTGGTCCTGCAGGGCTTTGATCCCTGCTTTCCTCTGCACTTGCTAAGCCTTAGCAAAAGGAAAGCAGGGATCAAAGTGGTGCAGGATGGCTTTGATCTCTGCTTTCCCTTCTGCTTACTAAGTCCCATGGGGCTTAGCAAAAGGAGGGGGGAAAGGATCGATGCAATCCCGTGGCTGTATAAAGGGAAAAGGGATCAGAAGGATCGTGCAGTGGCAGGATTGCTTTGATCTCTTTCCCCCTCCTTTTGCTAAGCCCCACGTGGCTTAGCATGAAGGGAGAAAGGGATCAAAGCGATCCTGCAGTGCTTTGATTCCTTCCCCCTACACTTGTTAAGCCCAACTTAGATTTCTTAATTTTGGGTTAGAAAAGGAAGGTCTTATACATGGAGGCATCTTATACATGGAAAAATATGGTAGATGCATTTTGCAATGCAGCTACTAAGTCCATCCCTATTGACAGGTTCTGTTGAAAGGGAGGCAAAAAACTAACAATACAAATGAATGATCTCTTTATTTTACTTTAAGGCAACTTCTCTTTATTGCAAGGGAAACCTTCAGTGTTTGTGGGTGTGATAGAATATCTCCATCTAGTGGAATTTCTCAGCAGTTGTACAAAAAAAGGGTGGGGGTGCAATGCTTGGTTTCTATGCATATTTGGCTATCTCATCCTCACAAAACAGTTTCTTCCTTCAAATTTATTTAATTATTACTCCCCAAATATATATTCTTTTTTACATAATGGATCTATGATGAATGGTGGCAAGTTACATGTACAATAGCTCTGGTGTGTGATTTAAAATGAAAAGTGGGGAGTCTCTTATGCTTTCTTTTCTTTTGCAGGGAGGGAGACTGGTGGGAAGCCCGTTCCTTGACTACAGGAGAAACCGGTTATATTCCAAGCAATTATGTGGCTCCAGTCGACTCCATCCAAGCAGAGGAGTATGTTTTCTTTTAATGTTATGGAAGCTGCATGTGCTCTGCTTGAAAGAAGTATATGAGATTTGGTTGTGGTGATCTTCAAGGAATGTAACACTAGATTATCTTCTTTTTTTAAGCATCACTGGTAAATGCTAAGGCAGTTAGTGGGAAGAGGAGAAAAAACTACACCTGATTTCTTCAAGTCAAAATTGGGAGACCCATAATGTTCTGGCCTGCAGCTTTCACATCCATTAGAAGAAATAATGCCTATGTTTTGAACAGGCTAACCAGCTGGAGCTTGAAGGCCAATAAAGGAGATTTAAAAGTAATTGGGAAGGGAAATATTACTACATTTTCAAAATATTGTGTGAAAGCAACTTCGTTTCAGTGAAAGCTGAAAAATTATAAGTGCCGTTCTGGTCATATTAATTAATTAATTAATTTCCTTTATATCCCACTTTTCTCCAGAACTTTCCAGGGTAGCTCACAAAAATGGAGAATGTGGAATGGTGTAGTAGATACAGTGATAGATTGGGATTTGAATCTCCTAGGCTATGGAAACTCATGGGAAGGGGGAGGGATGGAACTGGTAAAACCCTTTCCTAAATATCTCACTTACCTAGAAAACCTGATTAGTTTTACTTTGACAGCATGTAGCACACACACACAAGATTAAGGCAATTTTCAGAAAAAGTAGCATAAAAGAAAAAATAACATTTTAAAAAAGAGATTTAAAGAATTTACTCACACATACATGAGGTCAATGTGACTTGCTTCAAGGTATTTGTGCTTATAAGAGTTCAGTCTCAACCTTAAAATGTGCACAAAATCTTGTATCAGATGAACTGCCAATCTAAATTGTTCAATATCAAAGTCAATCTGACTGCAGGTTAAATAGAGACATGTTTCTCTTTTGACTTCTGCTATACAATAGGACCCCCTTAACTGCAGGATCAGTATTTACTAATTCACTTATACCCAGCCTGAAAATAGTAAAGATATTTTTTTTAAAAATCCCAAAAATATGTATTTCTAATGATGAAGTTACCAAAATGAACCACTAGAGTGAACCAAAGGCTAGCATTTGTTAGAGAAATATATTTCTATGATTTTGTTACCAGAACTGGCTACTAGACAGTACCAGAGACCATGCTATGTGTAGTGTCTCTACAATCATAGCGTTTGCTATAATCCCAGTTTTTTAGCATTCATGCGGGGTGCTTCGAACCAACCCCTTGCAGATGCAGGGGTCCTGCTGTATCAAAAGGTCAAGTCACCACAGGAAGCAGCATTGTAATTGTGGCTATTGCTGCCTCTCTTTTTTTACACTTTTCTCTATGATAAGAAGGAATCTGTACCACTTACTGTTCATGGAAGGACAGTTTTTAATTAGTAAACATACAGGAAAAACTCATAAATGATCTTTACATCTCTTTTGAAAAAGAGAGTTCAAAGTAAGCACTGCTCTTTACCTGCTGTTTCAAATGTATTGTCTTCCTGGTATTTTTGCTTAGGTGGTACTTTGGCAAGCTGGGACGAAAGGATGCAGAGAGGCAGCTGTTGTCATTTGGAAATCCACGGGGAACCTTCTTAATTCGTGAGAGTGAAACCACCAAAGGTACTATGGCTATATTTTAACTATTCAGCAGAAGAAAACAAATTGAAGCTAAACAGAGCAATAAACTGATCTCAAATAGCACCAATGTGTGGGACACTGAGCCTCGTAGCGCCGTGGTAAAATCACTGCACTGCAGCCAAAACTGCGCTCACGACCTAGGGTTCAATCCCAGGTAGCCAGCTGAAGGCTGACTCAGCCTTCTACCCTTCCGAGGTCAGTAAAATGAGTACCCAGCTCGCTGGGGGGGGGGGGATGTGTAGCCTGCATAATTAACTTGTAAACCACCCAGAGAGTGCTTGAAGCTCTGTGGGGCAGTATATAAGCAGCACGCTTTGCTTTTTTGCTTTCATGTTCGTGCAACCTTTGAATGACAAAGTTAATTCCAGTATGAATTGCTAATGAATAACAGTCATATTCAATTCATTATTTCAGTACTGGATATGAATGTGTCATCCATAAATTATCTTCTTCAGTGCAGAAAATCAGCTGTAGAGTCCGTTGGTTGACTTGTCAAATTATGTATGTTTATGGAATTTTGCAAAGATGAAGAAAATAGAGTTTGCAAATGAAGACAAAGGAATCATGTTCAGATATGTTGTTTTCATATTATACTTGTTCATTAGTTTTGGTTGAGTAATGAGGAAGCGTTTACTAGGCGTGACATTTGTGTTCAATAAATTGCCATGCAATTCAAGACTAGTGCTAGACCTTAAAACAGAAGTTAAGTGTTGCTACAGATTCAAGACTTTTCCCAGCCCTTAAAAATGCATATGTTAAATGTCATTTTATTCAGCATTTGGCTCAACACTATCACTATCATGGATCTTAAAATTCTGAAAAATGCATCAGCACTTTCTTATATCAACTAGGGTTGCCTTTTAATTCTTGTAGTAGCATTCTGTACTTAAATAGTGTGCCCTTTTTATGTCTTAATGATTATTTTTGTAATTATATTGGATAACTTGTTTTTGTTAGTACAATAATACGGTACCAAAAGAATCTGAATTGCTTTCAGGATGAATATCCCTATTTCCTTCATCTACATCTGAATTTTATTTTTCTTGTTAAATAGGTGCCTATTCATTGTCTATTCGTGACTGGGATGATGTGAAAGGGGACCATGTCAAACATTACAAAATTCGCAAACTTGATAATGGAGGTTATTATATTACAACCAGAGCACAGTTTGAAACTCTTCAACAGCTTGTTCAACATTATTCAGGTAATTTTGCAAAATTTTGGTAGATATTTTAGTGGTCTTTGAGATATAGATATAATCTGTTAGAATTTATTCCACAAAACACATTAAATGGATTTATTTTATTTTATTTTTCTTTTGTTCATTTTGCAAAATATTTATGGAAATAGATTCCATCAGCCTTCCACATAAGGGGAGCAAAGAAGGAACTTTTCCCCTTTGTACATATCTCAAACCAGTACATTCAATGTTTTTCATTAATTATAGCTACTATAAAGTAAAATCATGTGAAATACATGTTGCAGAGTTTTGAATTTTCGCTGAATTCCTCTTAGCTTAGACCTAAGTCTTCACAATCAACACTTACTTCAGTTCTCTGAAATTCATCACCAACTGTAGATGTACATTGTAGTCTACTTTTTAAAATCTCCAAAACCTGGTTATAAAAAGCAAGTGGCAACATGTTATTGCTCTGATTATTAAGATTTAAAATCTAGTTGATATTCCCCTTATTTCTATCTGACTGCCAATTTGTGTGCATAAATAACCTTCTGTTAATTTTAGCCTAGTTTGAGACAAAACAGATGCTATTCTTCCCAGGAAATGTATTGACAGAATGCTGTTTATAGACGTGTGCATGCAGCACACACAAATTTAAATGACAGTTGGATTCTGCCCATTGGGTATATTGACTGTAATTGATCCAAGGATTTCAAGTGCTCTTTGCTACCAAAAGGCAAAAAAAGATAAAGCAATGAAAAGACACTTTAGGTATGCAGTTGCCCTTGGTTGCCTTGTCTGAACTAAATGTTCATTCAGCCTTTGAATTCCATGAATTTTGCAAGTTCTTTGCAAGTTTTAGATGACAGATATTAGCTCAGACTAGGGGTGTAAATCTTTGCTTCTTTCATTGTTGTAAGTCTTCAAAAGATTTATCCCCACTATGCAAGATTGAGATTGTTTTGTTTATTTTTGCCTTGGGGCATTTTTTGTGAAAAATCTGCAGAAGTGTTCTTGGGCAAAATGCTTGACTTTTGGATTTTAAAACTTAACTTTAAATACTATTTTTGATAGGAAAAAAATGAGGTTTTTAAAAATCTATTGCTGCTGCTGATGTGGCAATCTTTTCACTGTATCAATGAACAGTCAGACAGCGGTTTACCAATTTTTGCAGTGGGGTTTCTTCATTTATTGGGTACAAGGAAATTTGAAAGTATTCATTACCTCCTTAACTTATACTTTGTAATGGAGATCTTCCAACAGTAAAATCACAGCCCCATTTGAGAAAAAAGCCTCAATAAGCTGATCTGGTAAAACTTTCTTGGTACCTGATAAAACTCTAGAAATCATATTGGAATCCTGGAGATGAAAAGGACAGTTACAATATAGTGTTGCAATCACTTATGTAAAAGTCCTGTTGAGCTCAATGAGTAGACCTATAGAGGATTTCTTCCTCTTTAAAATGGATCTTTAAAAACTTGCTTTTAAGGTTGTTTCAGAAATTGCAATCCTAACTCCTTCAGTTCATCTGGGAAATAATGTACACCAGGGGCAGACAAAGGACAGGCTGTAATATTGTGGTAGTTTTCCAATTTGTAACAGATCAGGAAATGTTTCTGGCTTGCACAGATTCAATGTCAGGAGCAACAATATGCTATCCTCTGCCCTCTCACCAAAGTGGATTACTGAAGTCAAGAAAACTTGAAGAAAAACAGGGATGTGTGCTACTGGATGCAATGTCTTGAGCTGAGCTTTGGCTTTATATATTGTATGTCTTACTCCTCAATTCTCTGTCTACTGTCCTGGGTCACTGCTCTATACCTGGATCATGTTGGCAGGTCTTAGGTTCCACTGAAAAGTCAAATAGGTCTCACAAGCTCCAAATTCCACAGTGGTCCATTCTGCTAAGTCATAAGAACATAAGAAGACCCCTGTTGGATCAGGTCAAGGGCCCATCTAGTCCAGCTTCCTGTATCTCACAGTGGCCCCACCAGAGGAGCACACAGGACAACTAGATACCTGTCTCCAGATATCCCTTCACCTGCATCTAACATTTTGAAGTACCTTCCTTTTAAGCCTGGAGATTATACATCCCCATCATGGTTTGTAACCTGCAATGGACCTTTCCTCCAGGGATCTGTCCAATCCCCTTTTAAAAGGCATCTAGGCCAGATGCCATCACCACATCCTGTGGCAAGGAGTTCCACAGACTAACAACACACTGGGTAAATAAATATTTTCTTTTGTCCTCACTCTCCCAACACTCAATTTGAGTGGATGCCCTCTGGTTCTGGTATTGTATGAGAGGGAAAAGAGCTTCCCTCTATCCCCTTTATCCATCCCCTGCATAATTTTGTATGTCTCAATTAGGCGCCTTTTCTCTAGTCATTTCTGCATCCTAGAATGTTCAGTGACTTCTCTAAATGTTTTCTGCTTTCTGGGTTGTCTCTGAAATTGGTTACAGAACTGAGAGGGCACGATAATAGGATGAAAGCCTTCTTGCCCTGAGCATTTCAACAAAATGGCAGTCACACCTTTCCAAAAGCTGCCCTTTTCTGTGGCATCTTTTGTTCTACACATGTTTGCTTGTTTCTTATTCTTCCATCTAGAGAGGGGAACAAACCAATGGTTCATTCCAATTTGTTTTTCAGCTGTTTGAATTTCAGCTCCCAGAATTGCACAGTCAGTATGTGATTCTAAGAAGTGTAGACAAAAAGCAAATTTTTCCTATTTTTGAGCAAAGCCAAACATTGATGTTTTCATTTGACCCGTTCCTCCTGTCCACTTCCTGCTCTAGTCATAGGGCAGTTTTTGCCAGCTTGATGTCCTCAGATGTTCAGGACTTCACCTTTTGTGATCCCTCACTGCTGACAATGGCCAAACCTTAAGGGAATTATATCGAAAATATCTGAAGGGAACCACACAGGGGAAGGCTGTAACAATATTTGTTAATTGTATTCCTGTACAACAGTCATTCTCAACCATTTTTGGGCACAGCCATAAACACGATATGAAAGAAATACAGTCCAAATCAGGATTGTGTAAGTCACATAACAAACCTTATAAGGTGGTATGTGAAGAATTATTTCTAGTCTGTGGCTCCCTTCAAGTGTGCCAAGGCCTCAGTTGGGAATGGCTGCTTTATTTAGGCAACGCTCAAGTATCCTATGAAATCTGACCAGGTAGTGTTTATATGCTTTCTTTAAATTACCTGTGCTTGTTCTTCAACAATACGCATTCTGATCAACCAATGCTACAAGTTTGCAAATTCTAAATTGACAGCATTGGTTCATGTTTACTGCATATTTGCGTGCTTTAGGAAATACAAAATTGTGAAAGTCTGATGCAAAGCTACTGCATAAGACTTGCAGACCCCCCCTAAAAGTACATATTCACTGAAAATAAAACACATAACCTTTTATCAGCTATTATCTTCAGCACGTTTCTTATTCAGAAACCTAATCATACTTTAACATGCTAATTATAATTATAAAAGTTATAATTACAGTATTTAAGTGTTTTACAAGCAATAATGAAAGTAATCTGTTTAGTATTATTTTGGCATCATTTTATCTCTGTGTAATATTGGAGAAACCACTATTCAATATACGTATATAGATATATGTGGCCTTCTTTCTTTGCTTGGCCCAGTGTTGTACTAACTGAAGATAGTCTTACAATCTATACTTCCACTATTTTAACACTAATACTACATATAATTCTCAAGCATTCCTTCCTGTTTTCTGTTGCATCAAAGCCCTCCATTTTGCTTCTGAGGTCTATTTATTCCATCTAAGTGCAGCCTTTCATATGCTAATGGTGTATTTCTTCTTGCCTCATTGCCTTTGTTGGTATAGTGCTGGGATTCTCATCCAGGAAAGATTTTTTAATGGCTAGTAGGAAAATCCTTTGCTTCATAGACATTGGCTTCTTTTGGCTGCCCAGCTAGACACTAGGCTGACTGTTTCAAAACAAAATGTGAATATGAGGCAGGAGAGAACAGAGTATCTAGCCACTACTGGTCAACAACCAAAGGAAGGGAAGCCTCCTCAAACTTAGCAGTGGCCCTTCTGAGGGCTGCTATAGCAGAGAAAATTCTCTGCTGCACTGTGCAGATGTTGTACTGGTGAAAGGACAAGATCACCCTCTTGGGGTACAACCATCATGCCCCCACACAATACTGCTGGCCATTTACCATCAGTGTGTCCACATGCCCCAGTGTGTGCCACTGCCTAGTACAGCTGCTTTAAACAGAGGTCTGCTCTTAAAGAATCAGGACTCCATGCTCCATTGGTGAGTTGTCTGTGGCAGCCATTGAGAGTTTTCTGCCAAGCTCCACCAGGTACCATGAGACAGAACCCACAGATTCTTCCCAGTTTACTTTCCCTTCTTAGATCTAATCAGCATACTTTTTTAGGAATAACAAAAACAAAATGAAAACAAAAATGTTGTGGCATCTTTAAGATTAACAAAATTTGTTTTGTTTTGAATTTTTGTGGGTTTCACTCCACTTCTTCATATACAATCCACTTCTTATTCTGTGTCTGAAGTGGATGGAGTCTGAAGCTCACAATGAACTGGACTTGTTAGTATTAAAAGTGCCAGAACACTTTAGATTTGTTTTTATTCTTGCCACATAGTGTAACAGTCCATAATTCAACATGTGCAGTCTTCCTCCTGGCCTTGCCCTGTAGAAGAACAGGAAAATAAATTATTTCAAAGTATTGAGGATTTTTCTCTACTTAATTTTTTTGGCAACACATCGAACATTTCTGATAGTGAATAGAGACATAGTAATTTTAAAAGTTATTTTGAACATGTCCAAATGATTTGAGCATAATAATTAGTGATGGGCATGAATCTAGATCATTGTATTATGCTACTGGCACCACAGGTGCTGCATGGTCCCGTTCCCCCATCACCCCACCTGGATTCCCCCACTCACCAGCCCGTGTGTGCTCCACTCCTCCTCTTTGGTCCTTTCACAGTCATGGTAGGAGCCTGGACTTCTCCACCTCCTCCAACAGCTGCCCACCCAAAGGCAGCACTGCAGCAGTCCCTCCTCATCTGAGTGAGCAGCTGCTGGAGGAGGTAGAAAAAGTAATTCAGTGCTCTTCCCATGACTGGCGAAATTACCAAAGAGGAGGAAGACTAGCGTGTGCACCGACTGGTGAGGGGTGGAATTTACCCTGGGGGGTGGGGGGAAGGGGGGACTGTGCAGCACCTGTGGTGCCAGTACAACAATCCAGCACAATCCAACAATCTGGATTCATGCCCATCTCTGATAATGATAAATAAATCACACATTCCAAAAGGTCCAGGCTGCTTCTTCCATAGGTTGAGGCTGCTTTGATACATTCTTTCCTCTGCCTCCAGTATCCATTTATCTCATCCTAGAAATGATTCTGCAGACTACTGGAAAGGTGGGGTGGTGGGAATGCAAGGATCATGTTACTGGAAAAAAATTGAGGAGTAGGAAGGCCTTGTGTGGTAGAAGAGGTGGATAAATCAGCCTATAATGATAACTGCAACAACTATGGCAGCAGATGCTGGTGTGTTTGTAGGCTGTGGGGATGGGGTGAGTGGGAAGATGGCGGTATAAAAAAAATCCAAGAGAGGCAAAACTGTAGACTAGTGCTTAGAAATGAAATGTAATTATGATCTATGATCAGTCTAGAATACTCATCTTGTGGCCTAAAGTATTTTTAGCAGTAGCCACACCAGGTGGCTTGAAGGAACTGTTGGTGACTTCAGCTTGAGAAGACAAGCAGCTGGACTGCTAACTGGAACTGTTAAACCTGTCATGAAACAAGTGTACTTGCCTTCCAGTCCATTTCTGAGTACAGTTGAAAGTGTAGCCTTTTCACCTCTGACATTCTAAATGGTTTGGAGCTCAGCACAAACCTGCCAAACTTCTTCATAAAGCATCTCTGGATTCCCACACAAAGAAACAAGCCAACTTGATTGTGGCTGTCAAATGTTCTCTGCAGAGAATTTGCCTGGAACTGAGTCATATCAGAAGGAAGACATGCAGTTTGTCATGGCCTTCTATATCTTAAGGTCAAATATCATATTATACATACCTCATTTTTTAATTGAGTTGGGGTGTCTTTTTAAGTGAAAGCAATGCTGGTAGCCTACTCAGCAAGAGTTAGGTAAAATATTCTAAAATAAATTTATAACATGAAAGTATCTCACTTCTTTGCTCTCCCCCCTCCCCCACATTTCTGAATGTGTCAAGTTTCTGCCAGAAGGCAGACTGGAGATACCCTGTTTCCCTGAAAATACAGTGGTGCCTCAACCTGCGGCCATAATCCGTTCCAGAAGATGGAGGTAACTTGAAATGGTCGTAAATCGAAGTACCATTTCCCATAGGAATGCATTGAAATGCAATTAATCCGCTCTGGCCGAAGAAAAAAATCACCAAAAAAAAATCATTGAACGACTCATTGGAAATGCGATTAATCCCTTCCGGCCGAAGGGGGGTGGGGAGAAAAGCATTCAAGCATGCAAGACCCATTTGAACTGCACAGAAAACAAACTGAGCAGATCGGAAATGCACAGAGAATAAAGGGGGCAGGTCAGAAATGCAAAGAAAACAAAGGAAAAAGCAAGGGAAGCATACAGGTCCCATTGGAAATGGAGGGGCAAAAAGCAACCAGACCCCCCCCAAGATCCATCAGAAATGGGGGGAAGCCAAAAAAACAAACCCCCAAGACCTATTGGAAATGGGGAAAACCCCCATAAAGCAACCAACCCCCCCAAAGCCCATCGGAAATGGGGGGGAAGCCAAAAAACAAACAAATCCTCCAAGACCCATCAGAAATGGGGGGAAAACCCATAAAGCAACCAAACTCCCCAAGACCCATCAGAAATGGGGGGAAGCCAAAAAACAAACTACCCAAGACCCATCGGAAATGCGGGAAAACCCCCAAAAAGCAACCAAGCCTCCCAAGACCTATCGGAAATGGGGGGAAGTGAAAAAACATACAACCCCCCAAGACCCATCACAGCACAGAAACATAACCCCCCAGCTCAAAACCATGCTGCAAAAATACCCAGAACAGTTTTTAAAAAGCAGAAAACAGCACCTTACCTTACCAGGCAGCCCGAAGCCTCCCTGCAAACACACACAGATGCTCACTAAAAAGCAGAAGGAGGCAGTCCCAAGCCTCCTCCGACGCACACTCTCTAACTGCTGGGGCGAAAGATCTATAAAGAAGCAGCCTCATCACCACCTACAATTAAAAATTTGCATTTCCCGCCTTTTTCCCCTGCCTTTTTTTGTTCGTAAGTGGAAGCTCCAGTTGCAAGTAGAAGCAAAATTTTCCAGCCGGAGCTGGTCGTAACTCAAAATGGTCATAAGTAGGGATGTTTGTAAGTCGAGGCATCACTGTACCACCTAACCTGAAAATAAGCCCTAGTATGATTTTTTAGGATACTTGTAATATAAGCCCCATCCCAAAAATAAGCCCCACTTAAGTGAAACCCTGCCCTCCAGCACTGTGCAGCAACCAGAAGAAGATGACATGACTGCATGTGAATAAATGTAAATTGTTTTACAGGAAAAAAATTAAACCTCCCCTGAAAATAAGCCCTAATGTGGTTTTTTGGAGCAAAAATTAATATAAGAACCTGTCTTATTTTCAGGGAAACACGTATATATATATGAAATGTGTGTGCGTGTGCATGTGTGCATAAATACACACAAAGCTATTACAAATTTTCACTTAAGGCATTTCAGATTTGTTTCTTGACATCTTTTCAACATATCCATGGTGCCAATAAATGAAAAATGGCAGGTATATCACAGTAGCGTAAATGAAGGCATCTGAGAGATAATGGCAATCCATGATTTTAAAACAGCCTCTTCCTGCCTTCTGATACATTGACATGTGTGGAAGATTGTGTTCAGTTGATCAAACCAAAGGAACAATTTATATTCCTAGGGTGAGATAAATGGATTTTGAAGGCAAATTTGTGCAAAAGTTTTCCAGGAGGACATGCCATATGTGAATTCAGACACTGTAACAGAAAATATGCTGCACATGTTAGGAATCCTGTTTATCTCTGTCTGCGTTTATTGATGCTGGTGTAAGAATTTAGCCATATAAATCCAATAGGGAGAAATCCTTTTCCAAAAGAGAGAGGTTGGAGTAGACAGTGCACACTTAAAACTCACTTATTTTTCTGGACCATGATTAAAAATATGGGAGCATGTCTGCAGCGGCCAAGTGCTCTCTGCTTCCCCCCCCCCAGATCACAGGGCCTCAGAGGTTTCTAGGCTTCTGTTCCTATCAGCCTCACTCAGCATAGCTTGTGAGGGGCAGCTGCAGTCCAAGCAAGTTACCCACCTCTGCTGTAATAGTCGTTTTTATTACTAAGTCAGTCCACTTTGGGGAAACATAAAAGAGGCTTTACTGTGTTAACATGCAGGGAGAACAAAGAATCCAAGAGTTAAGGTACAGCTGCACGTGGGGGTATGTCTTATAGGTGGATGGTGAAAACCATTGTTCACAAGTACGAGCTGTTCTGCAGTCTACCATGAGAAAATCTTGGCAGTGGTGATGTAACTGGTATATCTTCTGAGCAAAATACATCTGTGCAGCCAGATATAAGGAACTGTTCTTGATAGCCCAGGCAATGGTGCAATTTTTTCCTGGATCTGTTCCCAGCTACAGTAGACTTCCATGTGACTGATGGCCATTTCTGCTGATACTTAAAATAATAGAAAAATAGAAAAAGCTTCTATAAAGAAGGACAGCATCCTTTCCTGAATGTTCAGAGGAAAAACAACTGCAAACATTACCAACTTACCTTTTTTTAAAAAAAAAAATCTAGTAAATGAACTTCTGGATAGCTCAGTGATTTAGGTCTGGGAGTTCAATTCCCCTGCTGTGGTTCCTTGACAGGCCCTGAACTCAATTATGCATACGGTCCCTTCCAGCTCTGCAGGTCTAAGGTTATTATATTATATAATAATATGTAACTTAAAACAGTTTTATGCAATTCAGGTTCATATAAAAGCCATAAAATTAAATTGGAAGATGTTGGGTTGAGAATCACTATATTTTAGAATGAGTAGTTATACCTACTTCATGTTGGCATAACTGGGAGATAATTTACTTAGTCATTAAAAACACTGTATTACTTCCCTTGTTTTAATATAGAAGTCCGGAAGTACAATTTCAAAAAAAGTTTGAGGTGTTGGATGTGATCGTTAGGCTTTTTTTAAACTTTATTTTTGAACTGCCACTAACAAACGATGCAACTTGTTTACTAGCTTTATTTTCCTTGCCTGCTGTGTTTGTTTCATGTTTGTTACTCTTTTCTTTCCCTGTGCTTCACTTCTGCTTCGCCAGAGAGAGCTGCAGGTCTTTGCTGCCGCTTAGTAGTCCCTTGTCATAAAGGAATGCCAAGGCTTACTGATCTGTCTGTCAAAACCAAAGATGTCTGGGAAATTCCACGAGAATCACTACAGTTGATCAAGAGACTGGGAAATGGGCAGTTTGGGGAAGTATGGATGGGTATGCAGAGAAAACATTTATTATTTGTTTTGAATCAGCTCCCAGCTTTGGGGACAAGTACAGAAGATGGAATGTGGAAACAAAATAAGTCACATTCAGAAGCGCAAAAGAGTAAATGTCGTTGTCCTTCATTACATTGGAAACAGGCTGCGGAACCTTCATTATAAGCAATGGTGTCTAGTGAAGAAGAAAAAAGGAAACCTGACATCCTATGCTCCCCTGGGGCATGTGGCAAAGTTTGAGAAACTACCGCCACCTTAATAACAAGCTTGCACCATTGACATATTTTGGTTACATGGAGATTTGTCAGGATCTGATGTCTAGAAATTAACTAAAGACATGAAATGAAAAAAATAAAAGCACCTTCCATCTTTCTCTGTGCATGTTGTAACTATGTGGATTATATTTCTTTTATTAATTTCCTTTCCTGTAGAGAAAGCTGATGGTTTATGTTTTAACTTAACTAAGATTGCATCGAATTACACTCCACAAACTGTCGGATTGGCTAAGGATGCATGGGAAGTTGCACGTGATTCATTATTTCTGGAAAAGAAGCTGGGTCAGGGCTGTTTCGCTGAAGTGTGGAGTGGTAAGGCAGTGGAAACTGTTCTGTTTGGGATACATAACATAAAGTCATCATGAAAGGAGTTGGTTTCAGAATCTAGTGAAAGTGTGTTGCCATCTGAATTTAAAATTTTGAGATGGCTCCTTTGTGGGCAAGTCTAGTCTGTGAACTTATGTAAATCTCCAGATACTGAGAGACTAACTTATTTTTCCATGTAAAAGACTATACTTTTGTCTAAAATCTTTAGACTAAAAAATGAGGGTTGTCTTATACACAGAAGTAAGCTGAGGAGAAAAAACAAGTGGGGGGTGAACGCATGGATCAAAGTGATCCTGCAGGGCTTTGATCCCTGCTTCTCCTCCACTTGCTAAGCCTTAGCAAAAGGAAAGCAGGGATCAAATTGCTGCAGGATTGCTTTGATCCCTGCTTTCCCTTCTGCTTGCTAAGTCCCATGGGGCTTAGCAAAAGGAGGGGGGAAGGATCAAAGCAATCCCATGGCTGTATAAGGGGAAATGGATCAAAATGATTGTGCAGTTGTGAGATTGCTTTGATCCCTTTCCCCCTCCTTTTGCTAAGCCACACAGCGTTTAGCACAAAGGGAGAAAGCAAGGATCAAAGCCATCCTGCAGCACTTTGATGCTTTTTACCCTACATTTTGCTAAGCCCCACGTAGATTTTTTAATTTTGGGTTAGAAAAGGGGGGGGCGTCTTACACATAGGGAAAAAATGCAGTACATTAAATGTTCTTAGATGACCCAAGAAATAGAATTTGGGCTGGGCAAAATGCCTATGACATCCTCTAATTTGTAGTAGGTCTTACTAGAGGTTTTGTAGCACAAAGTAAAGCAAAACTGCCAGGTGTGGGCTGCCCTAATACAAATCAGTGATGTGATCACCTCTGGAATATTATGTACAGCTTTGGTCTCTACACCTGAAAACAAAGATAATTTCAGAGCAACCAAAAAGTAACCAAAATGATCAGTGGACTGGAGCAATTCCTTTATAAAGAAAGATTACAACGTTTGGATCTGTTTGCCTAAAAAAGTATGAACAGAAGGACACATACAAGAAGTGCACTAAATTGCACATGGTGTAGAAATAATGGGTGGAGAGAAGCCTTTTGCCCACATGTAAGATAGGACTCTGTTTGGTATTATGGATTCTGTGGATCCTGTTGTCCATGGAAGATAAATCGTGGGAACAAGAACTACTTCACACAGCACAGAGTTCTGGAATTCACTGCTAAAAGGTGTAGTGACAGTTGCTAACTTGAACAGCTTGATAGGGAATTGATAAATCTATGGAGGTTGATCAACAGCAGTGGGCACGTTTTATTCCTGAGCTTTTCCACACACAAATGGCTTTCAAATATTATGGAAAGAAGAAAGCAGTTCACTAGGAGAAACTGTTGTGAGGAAAATAGATTCTTCTGTCCTCAGGAGCCTCATGGCATCATGTTTAAACTACTGTACTGCAGCCAAAACTATGCTCATGACATAGGATCAATCCCAGGTAGCTGACTTGAGGTTCACTCAGCCTTCCAAGGTAAATTGAGTGCCCAGATTACTTGGGGCAGGGAGCAACGCATAGTCTGCATAATGAAATAGTAAGCCACCTAGAGAGTGCTTTAAAGAGCTATGGGGCAGTATATAAGTAGCACACTTTGCTTTAATAGTGAGTGGCCTCATGTAATATACAGGACTCTCCTCACATCACAGACAGGTCAGTTGAACAAGGTTTATGCTAAGCAACCTTCACAGTGTTTTATTTCTCTTATGAGCACTACCCATTGTACAGCGTATGTGAGGATTTCGAAAGAGCAACCTGTATTAGTCTGTCTCAGCCAGTTGGCAAAAAGGAAATTAAAAGTAAAAAGAGGAGGAAAGGCAAAATTCCACTTCTTCAGATGCAAAGAGTGCAGATACTGTGCCAATGTATTTATAAAGGTCCTGGTGAGAGTTGTGGCCAAGTGAGGATACAGATAATGGACAAAGCGGCAATGCTTCTAACAAGAATAGGACCGTGACGCTATAAAATCTGTGTTAATGAACCATTGTCACTTTGTCTATTACCTATGTGCTCCTTCGGTTGGGGTGGGTGGGTATGTATAAATATAGAGGCATAGTATTTGTTTGCACTCTCTGAATTTGAGGTAGTGGATTCTGATCTACAAAAAAAGCTTACATGGAAGTAAATATATTACTTTGTTCTGCTTTCTCTCCTTCCCGCCCCTTTCTTTTTGTTAGCATGTGTGAGGGACTGCATTAAGGACTGCCTTGAAATATCAGCAACACACTCCCTTCTGTGATGCAGTTTACTGACCGTTTTTCTACCTCAAAATAAGTGTATTTTATTTCAGAACGCCACACAATACAACGAAGGACAGTGACTAAGTCAAACAATCTTTGGATTGGAAACAGTTCATACATTACAAAAAATCCAATTAAGCAGGTGTATGAACCTCTGCGTTACCATGTTTATAATTTCTGGTTCAATGCAGAACTACTTTGGACAAAAGACTATGAATATCATATCTGTGGTTTTACATTTTTTATTAAAAATACTTTATGTATTTTGCCCAGGGCTATATATACTTCACTAGGAAGTCCCTCAGCCTGAATGAGCTAATTTTATCATTGAAACATTAATCAGCACAATTTAATCCACTATGTTCTGCTGATTTGTGCAATGTGTTCATAATACAGAACCCTTTTTAGTAATAGAGGCAGATAAATGAAAAGCTCAGTGTTACTTCTCAGCCATATAGTACATTTATGAAACAGATAAGGTTAAGATATAGTCTTCTTGGTCTCAGTGAGCATTATGACTGAGGAAATTAAAACTAGCATCCCAGGGCCCTGTAGTTACTAAAGGAAAAGGATGGAAGAAAGCAGATAACCAAAATTCTACAGCTGCATAAGTGTTCCCCACGTTTAAATATCACACTTTCTGACCTTTACCATTCCTATACTTTAATATTTGCAGTACTTCAAGTAGTATCCTGTGAGTTCTCCAGCTATAGGGGGTTATCAATTAACAGTATTTGTTGATGATTATTTTTTGTAGGTACTTGGAATGGGAATACTAAAGTGGCAATAAAGACACTGAAACCTGGCACAATGTCCCCAGAATCTTTCCTGGAGGAGGCTCAGATCATGAAAAAGCTAAAGCATGATAAATTAGTCCAGCTTTATGCTGTGGTATCTGAAGAACCTATCTACATTGTTACAGAGTATATGAGTAAAGGTATGTTAAATTTGCTCCTTCCTTAATAATAGCTTGACATGTAATAGTAAGCATCCTTTAGTCTCGAGAGACTATGGTAACGTGCTCTGTATGGAGGTCTTGGAACAGCGTCTAGTGTGGCTGAGAAGGCCAATTCGAGAGTGACAATCTCTTCCACATTGAAGACAAATATAATCTGTCCCCTGTCCAGCTCCCTGATTTTGCTTGTTTTGGGACTGCCTCTTCGCCTCGGCCTGCTGTACAAATGTCTCTTCAAATTGGGAGAGGCCATGGTGCACCGCCTGCCTCCAGGCTGAAAGCTCAGACATCAAGGTTTCCTATCTGTTGAGGTCCGTTCCTAAGGCCTTCAGATCCCACTTGCAGATGTCCTTGGGGCGATTTCCCTGCACTAATTCTCCATACAGGAGATCCTTTGGAATCCGACCATCAGCCATTCTCACGACATGCCCAAGCCAACGTAGACGGCACTGTTTTAGTAATATATACATGTTAAAAATTCCAGCTCATTCTAGGACTACTCTATTTGGAACTTTGTCCTGCCAGGTGATACCAAAAATGAAATGTAAATGAAATACTTCACTGGGTTGTTCATAGGATTGTTAAAACCAGATTAATGACACAATTTTTTCACCCACTGGTTGGAGTCCTTTCAATCACTTACGCTGATGTAAATGCAGTGATTTAATTTGTCGTAGCAAATTGCTTCTAGTTATCAAGTTGCTGCTTGTATTGCTCATCACATGCCAGTCATGTGGGATGAGGCACAACCAAGGATACAAGCAGCAACTTATTAACTAGTGGTAGTTTGCCAGTGTGATTTATTCCATTGCACTCCTGCCAGTGTAAGTGATCGAATTTTGGCTGCTATGTTGGAAAAGGCTTGGTTAAAGAGGCTAAAATCCCATCCAGCATTTTAAGAACAGAAAGGGAACTTATTCAAAATCACTAGTGGGGATTTTTAAAATTCTTTTTTCTTTAATTAAACAAAACCTAGAATTCCAAAATCAATTGTCACTTTAAATCTTATTTATTGATTATGAATACAAAATAAAGCTGAACTCAGCACTAATGATTTGTGACGATATTCCTTCATTAATCTTTCTCTGTCTTCCCAATTTTGTCTTGTGCGGTATGCTACACAGGCACGTTTTTTTTAGGTTTCTTTACACTTGTATCTGAAGGGTTTAAGGTCTTGACACTTTGTGTCACATTTTATCTCCACTCTTTGAGATAATTGATTTCATACATTTTTTTTCTTGATGCAGAGGAAAACAAAATGTATATAGATCTTTTTTTTCTGCCACATTTTATTATACAGTACTAACCAATCCTATGGGGTAGGTGAGACTGAGAATGTCTGGCCCAAGGTCAGTCTGTGAGCTTTGTCACTGTAGGGAGATTTGAACCTGAATCTTTGCAGTTCAGTTCAGTGCACTAATTGCATTATACCCCATTTGTATAAAAGTAAAGTCTCGTGAATAACATGCCTTGATGAGAATCCGTAACTGTGCCTGTTTATACCCCATTTGTATAAAAGTAAAGTCTCATGAATAACATGCCTTGATGAGACTCCGTAACTCTGCCTGTTTTTGTTTGTTTGTTTGTTTTTCTAAATCTGATGTTTTATCAACTAACCCCAATCAGTAATGGTGCAAGCTCTGCTAATTCACAGGTGTGTGCTTGCTGCCTCCCTGTGTTGTTGTCCATGTTTCCAGGGCAAGGGCTTGAAGATTTGGCCCAGCTACCACATGTTGTGCCTCAGATTCTATACTACATGTTTTGCTGTGGGTAGTTACTCAGCTATCAGAGGTAGCATAGGACCTAATTTGTTTACACATTGTGTATATATATAAAACAACCTTTAATTAATTAGAGGCGAAAATCCAGTTAAGAAAACCCATGTCTATGAGGGCAATTGTGTTTTGCTTTCTCTCTTCTGGTGAGCTGTTCTCCCCTGAAAGGAGAACAGCCTGGGGGATGGGGACGTTTCCAACGACTAAACGACTAAACACACACTTCTCTCCTGGTGAGCTGTCCTCCCCTGAAAGGAGAACAGCCTGGGGGATGGGGACGTTTCCATGTGTGCCTTAAGTGCATAAGTCAGTGGGATTCTGGTCAGAGAGTCCAGGTTAAACATAGTCATCTTGCACTGTGATATCCAAATTCTCCTTTATCCCTATATAATTGTGCATGTACCTTTTTTTGTTTTTTCCCTATGCCTGCTTCATTGTGGCTGACTATCTGGCAAAGCATGACTCTGTTTCAAATTGCTAAATATAAATGGTGATACTAACATATGCTGTTAGATATTTTAAAGTGTGTATTTACTTTGTTGTCTGGGGTTTTTTTGCACTCTTTCTTCAGCCGCTCTGAGCATTTCATTACAGGCATTTTAAAATACAAATTAGCTTCAGTTTTTTTGTCCCACCACCACTTCTTTTTTAGGTCAAAATTTATTTTTAAAGATATATTCTCAGAGTTTTAGTATGTCATATATTACATGAAGACATGTATGATTCTGTTATTTATGATTCAGAGCATGAAACCTTACCTTGTAAGGAGAGAGAAAGAGAGAGAGGCATGGTGTGGGTTATATTTATTTAAAGAGTACAGAAAAAAATTGCCCAACCAAACCTTTGTTTGATTACATTGGCAATGCAAGTAGTCCTTTGATTTTCTGAATCTACAGGTTGTATCAGTGACGTAGTCACAATCCCACTTCTGTGGTTCCAAATCATGTTTTCCTCTTTTTGTTGCTTATATCCAGATTCTCATACATACCTCGTTCTGAGTCCAATGACACACATTATTTCCATGCATATATTATTGTAATGTTCTGAGACACTATCTCATTGTTGGTGATCAGTGTGCCCTCTAATTTTCAGCCGTGCTGGGCAAGTCTCTGCGTCTCTCTCTTTCTCTCTCTCTCTCTCTTGCATCTCCACCCCGTGTGTGCACGCAACTCTGAACCTCCGCTTGCGGGGTTCCGTCACAACTGGAACCTAACGCAATCGCTGCATGGAGGATGAAGACAGCTGTGCAGAGGGAAGTGGAGTTGTGTGTATGTACGCATGCACCCAGCTTAGTGGGAACCTTATTGGTGATCAAATCCAAACCTAAGACATATATCCTATAAATTAACCATTCAGTTTTCTGATGAAGCTGATGGAGAGGGAAAGGGAAGAAATTTCCCCTCCAGTCTCCAATGTGCTCTCAAATACTGTGGCAGAGGTTTGTAGACTGTCCAGAACAAATCTGGGGAAAGGGGGTTTGGCAGATTCCAAGTAGTAGGAAAGGAAGGGGAAATTATGCAAGTGGAACCTATTTCTGTAATGCTGGATTTTGCCTCTAATTTGTATGCTGAATGCTATCCGTAGTATCAGATATTTGTCTAGCAAAAGAGACATGATCTAAATACTCAAGGTTTTCCATACAAAATGGATGACAAGTACACAATCATTACATGACACAGAGACTTAAATCCTATTGCTTTGTGACACAAAAAGCATAACATTCATTTGTTCCTAGTTCGCAATTAATAAGTCTCTGCTGGGATTATCAGGGTGTGCATGCTTGCTGGTTTGGTGCACACTCAGAAATCCCAGCAGGGACTCATTAACTGCCAGCTAAGAGTGACTGAACATTATGCCTTTTGCATAATCAAGCAACAGGATTTCAGCCAGAGACATTTTCCCAGTTTTCCCAGGGATGGCATATTTGCCCAGTGGTCACATTTTCAGTACTTTACTAGTGATATATCTTTCCTTAACTAAGAGAGATATTGCTTTGCTTTGCTTTGCTTTGCTGGGATTTAATTTCAAACTAATGTTGGAAGGTGAAGGGTTTTCTGTCTTTGACCTTAGCACTGCATCTTGAGCATCTCATACTGCCTTGAATGGAAACGGTTATTGATTTTCCATTTCCTAAAGCAATTGGATCCCAATTCCTTGAATTTGCTGAGCTCAGGCATTGTTCTAGCCATTTTTTCCATCAGGCAATGCTTAACTAACTGGCCTTTCAAATACATTCTGTATACAGGAGGTCTCTACAACATATTGTTAGCTGGTGGAAATAAATCATTTTAATGATTTAGTGATGACGAGGCACTGCCAGCTGCTTAATTTTTAAAAAATGTACATGCAGAGTGGTTGATTTCCCTTATAAAATTGTTTTTTGTTGTCTTTGTTGTGATTTTAAGCAGATTTATATGGAGTAGAACTCCATGGATTTGATATACCAATAGGCAAAAGCCAGTCATTAAAAAACAACAGTTAGTCTCTGTTTCCCTAAAACTCTGCTTGGGAGGGTTGGACTGTGTTCCAAAATAGTATATGAGAGGAGAGTGGGACTGTGTAGGAGAGAGAATCCCTTCCCCTCCCTTCTACCTGCAGGGATATCTTACTGTTCAGCATCTAGTAGACACTAAAATTCTTTACAATCCCTTCTGTATTGCATTGCAGGAAGCTTGCTAGATTTCTTAAAGGATGGAGAAGGAAGAGCCCTAAAATTGCCAAACTTAGTGGACATGGCAGCACAGGTAAATCTTATATATAGTTAGCAGTGCTTTTGTGTCTATACTCTGTGCTCCTTGTTAAGCAGAGTACATTGTGTGTCATAAATTTAACAGGTTGCTGCAGGAATGGCTTACATCGAGAGGATGAATTACATACACAGAGACTTGCGTTCTGCAAACATCTTGGTGGGAAATGGTCTAATATGCAAGATTGCTGATTTTGGATTAGCAAGATTAATCGAAGATAATGAATACACAGCCAGACAAGGTAGGATCAGTTAAAAAAAAGAACAACATACAATCTTGACTTGCAGCTTTGAAAATGCCATCTGTTAATGGTTTTCCCCATGCTTAGTTATCTGGAAAAATCAGAACTTACATGAGATTCAATACCATGTGCCAGAAGTGGGTGAAGCTCAGCCCATGGAGTGCATGGGGATTCCCCAAGCTGTTTTGCAGCCCCTAGGGATCCTCACATGTCTTGAAGTTAAAAAAAGAAGAAGAAATTGGTAAAAACTGTGTTTTTCTATAAAACGATTAGCGGAAAATATTGCAGCCAGTATTGTAGCCACTGGTTGTGATGTTCTAGAACAGGCTTGTCCAACCTGTGGCCCAAGGCCCGCATGCGGCCCAGGTCAGCTCATAATGCGGCCCAGTGCAATTTTGAATTTTTAAAGAAATTCCAAAGTTTCAAGTTACACTGCCGGCGCTTGCGGCCGGAATGTGGCCGGGGCACGTCACAACAGTAGAGGGGGAGAGAGAGAAGGAAAGGAGTGGGAGGGGAGGGGACAGGGGGGCTGCATGACTGCATTGCGCCGTCCCCGTCAATAGGTGGACCCCCTCCCAGCCCCATAAAGCCGCCAGAGTCGAAGCTGGCCCAAACCAAATTTTCATCTTCTAATGTGGCCCAGGGAAGGTGAAATGTTGGACACCCCTGTTCTAGAAGTTATAGTCCAAAAAAATGAACATTTCCTATGTCCAGCTTTGCAAAAATTATGAAATATCTAATGTTATTTTCCTGGATTTGGAAAAATGGGTATTCATGCAGTGCATTTGTTGATAGTTAACTTACAAAAGGGATATTACGGAGTATGAATTTAGGAATTATGAAAAAATTAATCCTCAAATTTAAAATAATTTTGATGCAGGTTGTTATATAGATTTTAACTGGAGGCTTTTTCAGATTCTGTCTGGCTTATAGTTTCTTAACATCAGAGGGGGCTGGCAATAGCATTATAGTACTAGAGAGCTGTTCTTGGTTGTTTTTTTTTTTACTTTTTCCCCTCCCTTGTCCCCTCCCATGACCATAGATCTTCCACGGGGATGCAGCTAATAGGTGTTGTTGTTTATCTAGCCAGCCACAGTTCCTGTAGCAATTGTGGCAGAGAAAGTGTGATCTAGACCAGTAGGAGACAGGAGGTATTCACCCCATGAAGAGCTGAAGGTCCTTCAAAAACACTCGATTTCTTTTTCCCTCATCACTTGGTGTTTTGGGTACTTGACATTAATAGGGTACACTTCCTCCCTCCACCACTGTGCAGAAACTCCCTTGAATCCCTGAAGGCACTGCTAAAGGAAGCAGATGGTTTTAAGATATCCATCTCCTGTAGGTTTATAAGACATTTTGGTATTATTAATTCAGCCTTCTGGGATTTTAAATGTTTTTCTAACATTTACACTGACTATTTTTAAGAACAGAATAGAGTTATAAATTTGACTCATTTCCTATAAATAATGTGCAAGCAACAGATGGACATGAATTGATGAATCCCCAGCCAGGCAGGAAAAGCTGTTTCTGTAACTTCTCCCTCCCCACCCCTAGCTTTTCCCTGCCCCACCATCACAGAATAGGGTTGTAAGGATGAATGGTGTGATCACTGGAAAGTCAGGTCATGATGACCAAAACAAAGGTCTCCTAAGTGGCTAATTCACCTGCCAGGGGGAAATGGGAAAGAAAGCCCTGCAGATTATATGTGCCTCCATGCAATGGTAGCAGCTTGAAGTCTTCTGTGAACAGAGAGAGGAAATGTTTTCTAGACAGTGATAACTGAACATGTATTGTAGGGGATGCATACAAGTCATTCCCTGGGGATCTGTTGCCAGTGTGCTCTGCATGTATATTTGTAGAAGAAGCAGACAGCCTGCACATTCTTTGCAAAGAGACCCTTAGACTGAAAATACAATGCCAAATATGAGGACAGTGAATGGGGAAACAACAGCCAGCTGGGATTTGATCCTGAGAATCTTCACAGATATCCTGGATAAGATTGCATGACAGAGACCCTGGGGGCAGGCGGGTTGCAAGTCTCTCCTAGCTTTGTTTACCTGGATCTTTGTACAGTAACAGGTGAGATGCAGGGGACAGGAAGATGGAACTGCAGAGATTTGTTGTGATTCCATCCTATTAAGCAGGGTCTTCCAGCTTTATCCGTATATCTGAATGTAATGTGCTTAGGATAGAATTAGGATTCTGTTGATGCATCACTCACCCTGCTACCCAGGGTTCTCCATTCCTAAGGTAGCTTGGATGGCCACAGGTAGATCCAGCGGCTTTCCAATAGCTCTTGGGATTTTTGTCCCACCTCAGTAGGGCAATTCTGCTGAAATGGTATAGCTGCATCTGTACATGGTCATCCATTTGAGCTATTTCAAGCAACTTAAAACCTATTGCAGCTTGGCCCATGACGAGTGATTGATCATAGTTCCATCCCACCTACCTTATTACAAAGAGGTCTGTCTGGGATTGCCTTTGGAAAATGTTTGGGAACTTAATTTAGTTAATTTCTAAAGATAAACATCCTGGGGCCAACCTGTCTGAGAGATAACAGTGTCTTAACTCTAGAATTGTGAGTAGGAGTCATATGCAGAGGACTTGAAGTAAAGAGTTGGTGACATCCACAGAAAATATCTCAACAAACCAAAAATGATTACATGAAATACACTAGCCAGAATCCAACTGCTAATTTACACTTGCATAAGTGAAATGGTATACATCATGGTGGTAACTGTTGCTAATTAACAAGGTGCTGGGTTACCACTGGTTTTGTTTTGTTTTGTTGAATCTTTATTCACTTACATAATTGGATTCCTAACACTCTATAGCTGCTGCAGACCTAAATGCATGGTTGCAATTTTCAAGAATGCTAAAATATTTAGTAGAACAATTACTGTGAATCTGATATCTAATGCAAAAAAACAAGTCTTTGAAACATCATTATGAACATTTAAATTCTGATTCCCATGCCTTCGTTGATACTGTTACATTTAGGGTATATTTATCCCATGCATTTTTTCAGTGATCATATACCATCTTTAAATGCATCTAATTCCTACCATGGCTCTCATTTTTAGCTAAATGAGATTTTACAGTATGGTTAGTGTAAACCCAAGGTGTGGTGTCAGACAGTCTCCTGAGCCACTTCTTTCAGATTCTTCTCTTTCTTCCACTTCGAATGCTGTTGTGGAAATGCAGGAAATGGCTTTAAGAATAAAATTATATTTACTGTTACCCTGTTTTGCTTTTTTATTTATTTTTCTAATCAGTCACAAAAACCTTGAGTTTTGGTGAGTTGTTCTGCTCTGGCATTCCTGAAAATTGCTTAGATAGTTCAGTGGTTTAAGTCTCTGGTTGTGGAGCCAGGGGATGGGAGTTCAATTCCCCACTGGGCCTCCCTGACAAGGGCTGGACTTGATGATCCAGAGGATCCTTTCCAAGACTGCAATACTTAGATTATTATTGTTATTATTTAAAATGATACATTTGCCTTATGGTTTCCTTTAGGCATAAATCAAAATTTCAAAGGGGAAAAGTGAGTTGCCTTCCACATAGCTAAATATTAGTGGATGGAGCAGCAGCACAGATTCACAAATTCATGTGATAACAACATATTAATTATAATGCTTTCCGCTTTTTTTAAAAAAAAGAAAGAAAGACTAAGCCAACATTCTTAATATCTAGAATTTGGTGATATAGTAAATTTTCATTTTTTTTCATGCTTGCTGAGTGGTGTCTCCTTCTTTTAGCCTCTCATGCAATGAACACACTTGCTCTTTCCTAGGTGCGAAGTTTCCTATAAAATGGACTGCTCCAGAAGCTGCATTGTATGGAAGGTTTACAATAAAATCAGATGTCTGGTCTTTTGGCATATTGCTAACGGAGCTAGTAACAAAAGGGAGAGTGCCATACCCAGGTAAGGAAGAAAAAAAAACTTGTGAAAACATGCTCTTCTCTTATGACTAAAGGGTACTTTACTGTAACACCTGCATCCAAGTAAATGATAAGCATGTAGGACAATAGCACAATACAATAGCAACTTCAATAAACAAACAAACAAACAAACTTGTTTCAGGGAGCAGGAACTGCTGCAGCAAATCCAAATAACACTCTCTACACCTATAGATCTGCACCTGCTCCTCACTTATTGGAAACCATGCCATAGTCAGGGTGAATTATTTCTTCGACATGTGACTTCATCTCTCGTGAATTATGACCTGGGTTAACTTAGAACTGCTAAAAATAGAACTGGTCAACAAATTTAAGCATCAGACATCAGACATGATGAAATTACTTTTAAGTCTTTGTCAACACTTTTCATATGTTTTTCTTTTTTTCTTTTTACATTATACAATTCTATAATACTTAATCCTCTCATCACCATTGTAATTATATTTCATTAGATATTTTCAAGGCATTTGATTGTGTGGAATGGTCAGTAGTAAAAATTGTAATAAAAACATTGGGGTGTGGGTTGCAATAAACCAATTGTATTCAAAGAATACTGCAGCAATATTAGTAAATAATGGAATAACACAACCGATGACTCTAGGCTAGTACTGGACAAGGACATCCTTTTTCCACAATGTTTGGTTTAGTTATAAAATTGTTGGTGAGTGTTATCAAATTAATTTCTGGTATATGTTTTAAAGTTAGAGTAGAGATTAGTCTGTTTGCTGATGATATTTTATTAACAATAGAAAATCCCTTAATGGTTATTTAGAGGAATTTAGAGAGCTAATGGAGTTACATGGCATAAATCAGGGATGATAATGTTTAATTAAATAGGAAAGAACGGTATTTAAAAAAAATGAGCTACTATTTCAACGTCTATTAGATATTTAGATTTAAATATCCTAAAGAATCTAGAACAATTTAAAGAGGAAAACTTTAAAAAACTGGAACAAGAAATTAAAAATGAGTTAGATGATTTTAGGAAGATTGGACTTTCATGGTTTGGTACAAGTGGTATGTACAATGAAGATTTGACTGAGATAAAAATTTATTTATGATGCTTCTGATAAAGATAAGTTGAATATTTTACCTAAGATTAATTTTTTGTTTAGGACATTACTAATAAAAAATATCAGAAGAAGAGTTGAAAGATTGGCAAAACATGATTAATAAATTTGTAATGGAGATAAAAACAATGGTTTGTAAGAAGAGATTGTTTAAATCTGAAAAAGCACAAAGATTAGGTCTTCTTAATTTAAGGTATACATTTAATACTGATTGACAAAGTGCCTCATGATATCCTGTATTTAAGGTATACATTTAATACTGATTGACGAAGTGCCTCATGATATCCTGATTTGCAAGCTAACTAGGTGTGGACTGGATAGATCAAGTGTTAGGTGGATACACAATTGGCTACAGAATCATATTCAGAAGGTGATTCTCCAACTGGGAAGACGTAACAAGTGCGGTACCCCAAAGTTCAATCCTGGGTCTGCTGCTTTTCAACATTTTTATTAACGACTTGGATGAGGAAGTGCAGGCAATGCATGTCAGATTTGCAGATGACATAAAATTGGGTGGAATAGCTAATACTCTGGAAGACAGAAACAAAATTCAAAATAATCTGGATAGGCTCAAACTCTGGGCTGAAAGCAACAGAATGAAATTCAACAGGGATAAGTGCAAAGTACTGCACCTCGGCAAAAGAAACCAATTACACAGTTATAAGATGGGGGATGCCTGGCTCAGCAATAGTACAAGCGAGAAAGACCTTGGAATTTTTGTAGATCACAAGCTGAATATGAACCAACAGTGTGATGTGGCTACAAAAAAAGGCAAATGCTATTTTAGGCTGTGTTAACAGAAGCATAGTTTCCAGATCTCACAAGGTGCTGGTTCCCTTCAGCACTGTTTAGGGTTCATCTTGAGTACTGTGTCCAGTTGTGGACACCACACTTCAAGAAGGATGCTGACAAATTAGAACATGTTCATAGGAAGGCAACAAGGATTATCAGAGGGCTGGAAACCAAACCCTATGAGGAAAGAATTGGGCATGTTTAGCATTGAAAAAAGAAGACAGGGTGGTGATATGATAACATTTTGTAAATGCTTGCAAACCGCTCATACAGAGGTGAGACAGGATCAGTTCTCAATTGTCCCAGAGTGCAGGACATACAACAATGGGCTCAATTTACAGGAAGCCAGATTTTGACTGAATATCAGGAAAAACTTCCTAACTATTGGAGCAGTACAACAGTGGATCAAATTACCTTGAAAAGTGGTGAGTGCTCCAACACCAGAGGCATTCAAGAGAAACTTAGGCAACTACCTGGCATATATCCTTTGAGTTGTATTCCTGCCCTGAGCAGAAGGTTGGACTTGATGGCCTTATAGGCCCCTTCCAAATTCACTATTCTATGATTCTGTGTAGCTAATCAGATGAGATAAACACTTCATTTTATGCCAGTCTGGTTATTTATGAAGTGTGGAATCACAGGAACTTCATTGGAAACCTGAGAATATTTTTATCCAACTTAATAAGAGTATTTTTTTTAAAAACTGAAAACCTTTTTTTAAAAAAATATGCTTTTAATTTGGTATCCAACTTAATAAGAGTATTTTTTTTAAACTGAAAACCTTTTTTTAAAAAATATGCTTTTAATTTGGAACAAGTATAGAAAAATATTTATTCCATTAATTTCTCCATTACATTCAGTGGTAGAGCTGGAGAAATTTACAGGAAATTTGAAATGAAATATTGAAAAATTATTATGAAAGAAACAAATTATTAAGATAAGAGATTGATTAGAGAAATGGGGAATGAAGAACAAATAAAAGAAGTATTAGGAATGGAGAGAATATCTTGGTTTAATCTTATTCAGTTAGAGCAGTGGACTAAAGATTGGATACAAAGAAATTATAAATATTGGGATCTCAATAGACTGAAGGAAAACGTATATGAAAATAAGGAAATGAAAGAGGGGAAGTAAAATTTGTAAAATATTGATAGAAGTGAAGGAAGAACCAACAAAATCTTCTCAAAATATTACAGGAATATGATTTGAGAGAGGAAATAAGTAGTGAGGTTTGGAATAATATATGGAATGCAAGAATTTGTGCAAATTCCAATGCGATATAACTTTGTTTCTCGGCAACCTTGGTTCTCTGATAATTTAGAGAACTGAAAGAAATTTCTACATAATTAATGTCCAGTTATTTAATTAGTCGCGTGCCATAGTATTTACAATATTTTTTCCTATCTAGTTCATTAATTTCCTTGCAGAGTTTACTCTCAGAGTGATTCTTACCATTTCCCATACTATTTTTTTAGTTTCTTTTTGTAATCACTTCCTATCTGACAGTCCCACAACCTTAGCTATGGCAACTCACATGATTTTGTAAACTCACAATATAGTGTCTGATGTGGGGATGGTGCAAATCATGTAGCTTGTAACAGTTTATCAAATTAAAAAACAATTTAAACAGATAGGGCTAGTGAAATAAATCAGAGAAGCGGAAAGGCATTCTCTTCAGTGTCATCAAATGTCTTAGTTCCACAGCAAATGTTGAAACAAGAGTGTATTTGATGCAGTATCTGTTGCATACCGAGTTCTGTGATTCCGTGTGCAATTTACAATATCTACAAATGATTTCTTAACTTAGGGAGATTTGTGCCCCAAAGTTATTCCGTTTGTGTTACTACATAAGATTTCAGCCACTGAATTGTAAGAAGAAATAGTTCTTGACCACACCTAAATCAACTCTTCCTTTGCATTCCATCTCCCATCCTTTTTCCCTATGGTGGGGAATCTGTTGAGAATAAAAGACAAAGCAATTATAGAGTGCCTTGCAGCTGTTAACTGTAAGGAGCATTTGAAGGCACTTGGAATGCTGGGATGATAATGGTGGTGGTGCAGGGAAATATATTCAGTGCCATGCTTTCCTTTTTCCTAGCAAAATTTCCGGTTCATTAAATAAATGCTCAAAATTAGTTCATATTGCAATTGAACTGAACGTGTCTGTGTGCATATTTCTTGTTGTGGCTTGTGTTCTGTAGGTATGAATAATCGTGAAGTGTTGGAACAGGTAGAACGGGGCTATAGAATGCCATGCCCTCAGGATTGCCCCATCTCTCTGCATGAGCTTATGATCCACTGCTGGAAAAAAGACCCCGAAGAGCGTCCGACATTTGAGTACTTGCAGGGTTTCCTTGAAGACTACTTTACTGCAACTGAACCCCAGTACCAGCCAGGTGACAACCTGTAATTTTTCCTGGTTTGTTGAGACTACAGTGATCAAGTGTTTCATTTTCAGCTGACATCGGCCTACAGGCTCCCCCACCCCACCCCACCCCGAGGGTGCATCACAGAGCACCAAAATGTACCGGAGCCTGAAGATGTGAACTTCCAGAGCTACATGTTCTAAAGATCTGAATGTCTTCTGTGAACTGAAAAAGAAAGGACCACTTGCTTTTGTTCTTAATCGAAGACTCTGAAGCCGCATTGTTTTTGATGTTATGTAAACTGCAACATTTTTGTTCAGTGTAAATAGTAATTCAGTGCCAATAACTTATCCTAGTGCTTTCCTTTTTTTAAAAAAAGGCAAAATTATGTGATTTTAACCAGTCTCCTGATTCAACTAAAGTATTATTTTCCAAAAGTGGCCTCTTTTTGTCTACATTTTTTTCATGTTCTAACAAAATAAAATCAGGACCAGTGTTGGGGGGAAGAGTTGTTTTGTTTTTTGCTTTTATATATAAAAATATATGTAAAATATATACATACCTGTATATATAGTCTGCGGGTGCTATTGAAGAGGAAACTCCTTTCAGAAACAGATTAGCCATAATGCTGAAGCACCCAGATTAAAAAAAAAGAGGGGGAAAGACTTCATTTAACTGGAGACATACAATACTGATAAAGACTCTGAAAGCCGATGACTGAATTTTTGGCTTTTGCCCAGCATGACTTTTTAAAATGGGATTGCACTTTTTGGTTTAAATATGTACCTGTAGGTCGTTGTAACTTTTGATCTTTCAGAAATCATGTGCAGCATTTTCCAGCAATATTTGCCAACCGCATGGTTTGATTTTGTGACCAAAATTAAAACCAATCCTATTAGAGCAAAGAAAAAATCCACCATTCCCTGTTTGGACTGGAAGGCTGAAACTGCAAGAACTTTCCTGTATCAACATATGTATACTGAACATTTTCTGATTTTTTTAAATTAATAAACAGTGCAACTACATGCAATAGTCTCAACCTCATAGCATTTTAGTCATGTCCACATACTTAAATCATTCATCAGACTAGAATTTTTTGTGTGTGTACCATTCCTCATCGTAAGCTAGGTGTTTAAAATGTCCCGTACTGCTAATGAAATTACTTTCATTCTGTCTGCAAGTGTTTCAGCGAAATTACTATGCACTTCTTTCACAGGAAATGGAAGCAGAGAGGAGTGAGATGCACACAAATTATGACTTGGGGTTATCTGTACCAGCCTTGAATTTCTTCCTTCTAACCAAAAAGAAACAAACAAATAAAAAGCCCCCATCCTTTTCTTTCTCTTAAGTTTTTAAAAATAATGTTACAGTCTTAATTACATTTTGTTATTGTTTTATTTGCAAGTTTACATTTTTAAAATGTTTAACTGTTCTAATTTAGTAATTAAAAGAGAGCATTTTACATTTGTATTTTTGTTCTTTCATTTAAACTACAAACAGTTGGGGTTTGTAAAAGAGAAGGCCTGTCCTTGGCTGGTTGACTTTTGTAGTTGTTTTATAAAGCCTATGTGAAACAGGTGGATTTAGCCTAGGAGGTACCTGTGTTGTAGTTATTGTAGAATTGCATTCTTCTAAGATGAATCTTTACATGAAAAATGTCAGAAGGAAGAGGGAAATGATTCTGTGTAGAAACAAATACAGAAACATAGGTATGTTTTCTAAAATTAGTTGATACTTGAAGTTTTGTCATATTATAAGAAAACGTTTTAAGAAACGTCTATGCAAAGTAGATTTTTTAAAATAATAATTACGAGAAACATTTGCCTGCCAGAGTGTCAGTAGAGGTCACTGGAACCTCAGAAATGCCAAGAGGCATTCCTTCATTAAATACACTTGCAGTGCACTGGTCTTTCACTTTTCTGCAGTTGCACCTATCAGCTGTGGGGCAAAGATCTGATGCTCTTTACACTGTGCATATTTAAAATTCTTGTCAACAAAGCTTTATGTCTGGATGCTTGTAAGTGCTCTTTTGTGAAATGGAGCCCACCATTCATATCTGATGATTTTCCAGCCACGATGCATACTCATGTTGCCCTCTACCACCCAGTTTCTTAAGGAGCCCTGCCAAACCACCAAATTCTAGCCATACAACTTTGGCAACAACCCCGCCCCCCCCCAAAAAACAGCCATTTTCTTTCAAAACAAGGCATGAGGGGCAAATACTGTACTTTATTTTAAAGAAGAATAACATTCCCAGCTGATGGGACGGGGGGAGAGGTCTACTTTCCCTTACCTAAACTCTGTTGGTAATGGAGGTACGGCTCCAATACATTTTGAGAGTACAGTAAGTTGAAAATAGATGGCAGGGACTATTCTTCTGCAGTGCAGAACACAGTACTTGGAACAGTGGAACAGGCATCTCACAATGTCATGTGGGGTGGGTGCTGTGCTGCCGTTTGTGTGAGGGTTTGCAAGCCATTCTTTATACAGGTAACAGGGAATTCCTCACTTGCAAATTAAGTGTTGTACAGGGTAATCTGTATGGATGAAATGGCATTTTCTTTCCCTCTCTGAAATTGTAGCCAGCAATAAATGAGGTTTTATAGTACAAGAATTCCCTACCATTGCCACACATGCTTTTTCAAGGTGCTCTTGAGAGGATTTCTTTACCTACCATGATTTAAATGTTTAAACCCTGGGCAGAGTATCTCTTTTTCTGCTGTTTGCACATCTTGGGTGCCAGCAAATTATCTTCCTCTGATACGGCGCTACAATTCCCATCATTTGGCTGGAGCTAATGGGAATTTGGCTCTGACAGCATCTTGAGGGCCACAGGTCACCTATCCCTGCTTTATATCAAATCTGTGTGAAGCTTTTATGCCAACATTGCAATGTTACAACTGGGTCTAAAGTCCTTCCCTCCCCCAATAGTTCCAGAAGTCGCTACTGTTGGCAGAACCTTTCATCATCCCCAGGTGTTAATGAGAGTACTAAAGAATTATTCCAGAAATAGGAATTTTCCAGAAGGTGGTATTTTGTATGAGTAAACCTTTTAGCAATGAGAGGAAAGTAGTTTGTTTCAGAAGGTGGCAAATAATAACAGCAGCAGCAGCAGCAGTCGCCACCGCCAGAATGACAGACTGAATTGGCTGCCAAAAACCAGTTCTTAAAATTCTCTGTAAGAGGCTTAAAGAATTTAATGGGGTGGGCATTGGTAGGCATGTTGATGATGGGATTGAAGTGCAATCTTCTGAAATAGTGCAATGCAATAATTTATCTTGCTATTGGGAAGCTGGGAGGCACTGTATTGCTATTAGCTTCAAAACTAGTCTGGCTTCAAAACTAGTCTGTATCTCACAAGAGGGACTCTTGCTTGTGTGACACTCTGTCCTGAGGACATCAGGCAAAAATAAAAAATAAAAATAAAAATAAAGCAGGTCCCTGTCTAGCAGTCTGCCTTGAAATTCCATCATGTCTTGCAAGAGATTTAAAGGTTACCGGACTAGTTGTGTTCAGGATATCTTTGTGTCTAAACTTTGACCAGGGATGCAAGTAATCAGATTTACAAGAGGTCACCACTCACTTCCTGCCAGAAATCATAAATCTCTGTTGATGAACAATGACTGCAGTCCGTTTAACAATTAAACAATGGGCAAAGGCCTGCTAGTACAGTTCTGCTGGTGTAAAACATATTGGGGTGCTGGAAGTACTTAAGGCTTCCTCTTCTTCCTGGTTCTGCTTCCAAGGCTACCTAGGGAAGCCTTTGGGGGCTTCAAAACAGGAGTTAGGTGGGGTTGGGCTTAAAAGTCAAAAATCACTGCTGGATTACTACCAGTGGAATCAGGACCACCAACAGCAATTTTAGACTTTCAAAGATTCCCCATCCCTGTTCTGAAGCCCCAAAAGTTTCCCGAGGGCAAAAGGCAGCCCTAGGGAAGCATCAGAAGCTGAAACAGCCATATAAAAATCTTCCTAGCACCCCAATACTGTATATTCTACAATCTACACAAAGTTATGCAATAGGATTCTGGCCATTAGCAGTAGAGGATGAGCACTGGAATGAGTGTTTGGCATGGCAATTCCTCTTTCTCCCAACTGATCATAGGGATCTATGGCTGAAATCCTGTTGCTAGGTGTAACAAGTCACAATTAAAGTAGGCCCATTGACTCAATGGGAATTTGGTGAGTTGACTCCTCTGCAAATTCCATTGACTCAGTGTACCTACTCTAGTTGTGACCTACTACACTAAGCAATAGGATTTCAGCCTATATGACAGAATTTGGCCTCATTATCCTAGTTGTCCTTGAAAGCCAGTCGGGCCTGTTAATTGAACAAAGAAAAAGAAGCTACCTGGAACTTTCTTTCTTTCTTTCTTTCTTTCTTTCTTTCTTTCTTTCTTTCTTTCTTTATTTATTTATT